ACACTCAAGGTCGCCTTACATAGTAAAATACAATAAAATACAAAGTACAGGATAATGAAACATTTAACAACAAACAAACAAACAAATATCAGTTTAAAAAGCAAACAAAACAAACATTAACAAAACATCTGTTCAGGCTTACCCACTCAAAGAGAGTAGGAAAGCCTGAACAGGTGAGTTTTCAGCCTGGATTTAAAGTGTGGGAGTGAATCAATATTTCGGAGGTCAGGGGGGAGTGAATTCCAGAGTTGGGGAGCAGAGCGGCTGAATGCTCTGCCCCCATGGTAGTGAGGCAAACGGAGGGGACAGTGAGGTGAATAGATGAAGAGGATCTGAGGGTGCAAGCAGGTATGGTGATAGGAAGGAGGTCAGAGAGGTACCGAGGGGCGAGGTTGTGGATGGACTTGTAGCTTAGAAGTAGAATCTTATAGTGGATGCGGTAGGTGATGGGGAGCCAATGGAGCTACTGTAAGATGGGTGTGATATGACAGGTGGATGGGGTCCTAGTGATAATATGGGCGGCGGAATTCTGAACCATCTGGAGTTTATGGAGGATTTTCTGGGGGAGACCAAATAGGAGGGAGTTGCAGTAATCAAGCCGGGAAGTGGCAAGACTGTGAACCAGTATGGCAGCCATGTGAGGTGTGAGAGAGAGATGAAAGTAGGTTGACCGGGTTATGTTGTTAATGTGGGATGAGAAGGAAAGCATGCTGTCGAGGATGACACCCAGACTCTTTACCTGAGGGGAGGGGAGGATGGAAGAATTGTCAATTGATATGGTGAAACTGTGGGCATTGGCTAGAGTGGATTTAGTGCCGATTAGTAATATTTCTGTTTAATCACTGTTTAATTTAAGGAAATTGCATGTGAACCAGGACTTTATTTCATGAAGGCAGTCAGTAAGGAATGAGGGTGGGAGGGTGGAATCAGGTTTGGAGGAGATGTAGAGCTGGGTGTCATCTGCGTAGCAATGGAAATTAATGTGGTTTTTACGGAAAATGTGACCAAGGGGGAGTAAGTAGATGATGAATAGCAGGGGCCCCAGGACAGAGCCCTGGGGCACACCTATGGAGACTGGGAGGGGGTGCGAGGTAAATGATTTCAACTGAATGAACTGAGTGCGGCCAGAGAGGTAAGGTAAAATAATTGAATTCTCATTTTTCTTATATTTTTTTCCCGATTTTTATAGACTTAAAAGTGTCACGGCCCAGGCTGGGACTGCAGTTTTTTCCTTTGTGTTTCCCCCTGTTTCCCCTGTGTCTCCTCCTTCTGTGTGTGTGTGTGTGTGTGTGTGTGTATGTGTGTGTGTTGTGGGTGCAGCAACCTCGTCAGATACCTAGTTTAAGACGCCAGCTCTCCAGCCATTCTGCGCCACATTCTTCAGCCAACTAAGTGGCACTATATCGGCCACTCAGTATTAATTGAGAAGTGTTTTTTTTCCTGTGCACGTGTTCTAATATTGTTTTTTCTGTGCTCCAGGATTAAACAAATAAATAAATAAATCTCCCTTACCTTCTACAAACTACCCGCTGTGTCTGCTTTTGGGTCCTCAACCACTGCCTTAACAAAAAGTTGATAAAACCTTGAAAAAGTTAGGAAATTGGAGGTTTGATCATCAACAGGGCAACTTGGTGGTGCAGCAGAAGGGGTGCTGGTTCGAACTCTGGGGTGGGGGAGCCTTCTGTGTGTGAGTCTGCATGTTCTCCTTGTGTCAGTGCGGGTTTTTCAAGGTACTCTGGCTTCCTCCCACAGTCCAAAGACATGCAGGTTAATTGGTGACTCTAGGTGTGAATGTGAGCGTGAATGGTTGTCTGTCTCTATGTGTCAGCCCTGTGATAGTCTGGCAACCTGTCCAGGGTGTACCCTGCCTCTCACCCAGTGTCAGCTGGGATAGGCTCCAGCATCCCTGTGACCCCTGACAGGATAAGCAGTTATGGAAAATGAATGAATGAATCATCAATAGTTCCATGACAACTAGACAACATATCGACCTGCTGGGGAAGACATACTGTGTAATAGCTTCAGAGCAGCTATGAACATTGTGGTAACATTTCTTTATCAGTCATTGTTTGCAAGGTTCACGGTTCAAGGTTTCTTTTCCAGTACCCAAGGGTAAATTCATTGTGCAGACAGGAGATTCAGCATTCCATAACAAGATATCGCAGTGATACAGATTTAAAGAACACTTGCAAGGTCAAGAATTAACCTTGACGTTGATTGCATAGGTGAAGTTTTGGAGCATTTTGACATAGGCGTAGATTTCAAGTGGGACACAGAGGACGTGTGCCCCTCAGTATTTAGAACATGTGCATTTGTCCCACCCAATAAAAAATTAAAGTAGCAGAGGACTTTTATTTTGACAAAATTAAAAACATTTACACCATAAATTGCAGCAAAAGAGCACAAACTGGTGAAGAAACAAATTACCACAATGCAGGTGGTTAAGTATTTAAAGCTAAAAATAATCTGTAGTGCATTTAGAAAAACAAATGTGCACATTGTGATAACTTTTATTGTCTGTGTGTAACATATTTATAGGTTATAATGTTGCGCAAGGGTAGTGGCATGGATCCTTTATGTTGGTACTGATAGGGGTCGGTCGGTCAGTTATCTTCATCTGCAGATTCATTGAAACAATGCATGCATGCTCCAAAAAGCTTTCTATAGGCTGTGGTCATCTGTCTTTATCTGCCTCACCAAATGGGACACACACACACACACACACACACACACACACACACTGAGAGAGAGAGAGATTGGGCCTAGCAGAGGGGACAATTCACCTTAATTAAGACTTTATGCTCAAAGGATCAGCTCCATTTGTGTGTACTGAACCTAAAGTCTCTTATTAGCCACTGGGTGTTAAATTGTCTTTACAGAGCAATGCAGTGCCAGTATGTTACTCTTCAACACCAACACACACTTCTCTACATAATACATTTAGCTGAGGCTTTAATCTAGACCACCTTTCTCTCAGTTTCAGTTTCAATTTAATTCAAATCAGCAGGGTTTATTGGCATGACATTTAACATGTGTTGCCAATAGTCAACAGAACAAAATTAGTAAGCAACATATATGCACTGATGAATGCCAGAGCCAAAGGTTTCCCAGCAGAACAATGCACTGGAACAAAATAACCAAAGTTATTCACTTCACCTGTCAGTGGTTTTAATATTTTGGCTGATCGGCACATGTTTTGTGTGTATGTTTGCTTGTGTGTGGAAAAACACACACAGAGAAAGAAACTAATAAAAAAAACAATATATATACAGTACAGGCCAAAAGTTTGGACACACCTTCTCATTCAGTGCGTTTTCTTTATTTTCATGACTATTAACATTGTAGATTCTCACTGAAGGCATCAAAACTATGAATGAACACATGTGGAGTTATGTACTTAACAAAAAAAGGTGAAATAACTGAAAACATGTTTTATATTCTAGTTTCTTCAAAATAGCCACCCTTTGCTCTGATTACTGCTTTGCACACTCTTGGCATTCTCT